GGACATGTGACTCACTTTGTGGCCTGCTGTTGCATTCTGGGAGAAAATCCAAGACCAGCCAGGATGACAGACGCTCTGATTGGACGAGAGAATAACAGCTTCTTTAGTCTGTGGGTTTCAAACCGACACCCTCTCCGGTGTTTGTCCTCTGAGTAGAAACATCAGCAGCAGGTGAAGCCTCGCGATGGCGCCCCCTGCTGGTGAAAACCTCTCACAGCACTTCACGTCTAACTTGAGGTACGAACGCGACTGGATGGAGGTTTTGTGCTCAGTGGGCGGGTCTACCAGCTTTCATGCATCTTATTGGTTAAACTCCTCTTAAACCTGCCCTCTACCCGAGACACAGAGGTGAACTTGAGGAGCCGGGGGTCAAACCATCAACCTCACGATTACAAATTCATCACCACATCTGTGCTGACTAGCTTCTCGATTCTCAAGCGCGTCCTTCATCACACAGGTAAACGGACACGCTCAGACATCACACGTGCTCAGTGACCTGATGATCAGCGAGAGGCTCGTACTGCTGTCTGAACACACAAGGGGCCGGATTTAGACCTTTAACTTCCATCTGTTCAGGGTCGGTGGGGGTGGAGCCTATGTCGGGGCAAACCTGACATCATGTGACTGGACTATGGGCGGAGCCCTCGCAAACTGCTGTGAGGCAGCAGCACTAACCCCAGAACCACCGCGCCGCCTTAACTTTCACTTCATCAGGAGATTTAAAAAAGTTTTCCATGTTTTGAGGCGCCGCGTCGGGTGCTGTGTCAGCCTGCAGCCGCACTCATCGCCTCCACCGAGCTGTCTGCACGTCAGCCCTGCTCTCGCCGACCGTTGGCTCATCGTTAAGACTTGTTTTCTCCCATCTGGATCCCAATAATCACGGCGGCTTCACAACGTTTTCCAGCCCGACGTAGACTCTGTGGTTACGCACTGTGTTCTGTGGGCGGGGCTGATTTAACGCGGTGTACCTGGGCACCCGTCTTTTTCCCTGCCGGCCGGGTAATAGCGGCATTATCGAGCTCACGGACGTGTACGACTTTATCACAGAGCCTCGAACACGCCGCCGCCTTGGAGGATCACAGCAGAGGACGAGGAGAAATCTTTCCTGTCAGCTGCAGGGAAAAACACCAGTGAAGAAGAACACCAGCGTGTCGGTGCGGTTGTCATAGTTACCGGGCCGGCGCCTTGTCAGCTTCGATCTCCTCCAGCTTTCCGTAGATCTCGGACAGCCGCACGCTCTCCATCCCGTCGGCACTGAAACAACACGCATCAGAGACAGCTGCAGCTGATTGGACAAACACGCTGCCTGCTGCACTCTCATTAGCTGAATTAAATGTGAGAGATGTTCTGCGAGTCACGCCTCAGAGCGTTTTTCTTACGTTCCATTGGCGATGCGAGCATTCAGCCTCCTCTCCTCGCCCAGCAGGTCCTCCCGCACCGTGTCGCTCTCCAGGACGCTCTGCAGCGCCGACGTTTCGTCCCCTGCCACTTCCTGCTCCACGTGCAGGATGGAAATGTGAGCCGGGACACGGAGACTGCGACTTGCCAGCATCTTCAGCAGCGTCGTTTTCCCCAGGCCGTTGCGGCCGATCAGGCCGTACCGCCGGCCCGACGCCAGGCTCAGCTCCGCCCCCTGCAGCAGACATCTGAGACACAAACGGCAGTGTGAGAAAACGAGCCGTCCCACCCCGCTGCGCCCCCGCTGGTGTTTTCCGAGCGCTCACCTCTCTCCGAAGGACACGTCAAAGTTCTCTATGCGGATGTCGTAGCTGCGGTTCTTCCCCGATTGGTCGACTCGGCTGTCCTTCTTACTGCTGGCCTGACTGGCGGACGCCTCCTCCAGGACTCTGAGGAAACAAGAGGACAGGTGAGAGGGGCACAGGTGTGTGCAGGTGATGACAGGTGGACGGTGGACTCACAGTGGGCTGGAGGCCTTCTGCGAGTCCTTCTCGCTCCTGCGCTCGTGTTTGGCTTTCAGCTTCGCCTCGGCTTTCTCCAGCTTCTTGGCGTCGACCGTCTGAAGACAGAAAGCAGAGGAGCGCTCAGTAACACCTGCCGTAACCTGAGAGACAGGTCCTGCCGAGAGCAGCGGGCCAGAACGCCACGCTGCATCTAATGCGGAGCGTTCAGACTCGCAGCGTGACCGATGAGACCCAACCCCGCCTTCAGCTCGCCTCCTCGTGACTCTGCCGACAGTCTGAGGAGCTCACGTGGTTTTCACATCTGTCATGCGTTCATTTAGCTTTGGTCGTAATTTAGGCGTCTACTTTCTTCTGGTTTTAGTCGAAGCAGCATCAGGACGTTCCAGTTTGTCGCGTTGCCCCTGAGTGGCCGTGTTTTCATCACATCCACTGTGAAATGTGTCGCCGCTCCTTTTTGTCGCGTTTTGTGAGAAACAGGAAGCTAGCTGAACTGTTTCCTGGGCAGATCGAACCCGACTGCGCAGGAAGGTCGCTTCTGATTGGACCACTTCCACATTCGTCACACCTTTCTACACAACTCAGTTCTGATTGGCTCTCGTCTGTGCTGAACGTTTCCATCCATCTCGTTTGACTGGCAGACTAACGTGTCGATACACAAATGCTGGTGACCAAACCCGGACACGTGCAGGCTAAAGCTAGTGCTAAATCAATCATCTGCTGATTGAATCGAAGGCTTATTGATGATCGTCCATCACGGCTTTTTTGACTTTTTAGTCAGAGGCTGTAATCTTTGTCCCGCGCAGCCAGGCTAACGTCACCACGAACGAGTCTCCCAGGTTTCCGGTACATACCGTGTTCTGAGCACGTCTCATCATCCAGATGCCCTCAGCGTCTTTGGCTGCAGAAACTGAGGAGAAGGAAACGGGCAGATCAATACGTGACATGACATCAATAAGTAATAATATTAATGGCGTTTGTCTTCGCAGACAGCAGGTGTAGTGGGCACACGTGACATTAAACTGACTGAGTCAAAACGTGATTCATCAGACCTGCCCAGCTTCTTGCATGCTCCCTGGTCCAGATCTGATGCTCACGTGCCTGATGTTGCTGCTTTCAAAGGTGGACAGGGGTCAGAGGTCCAAGTGTGACCTTTCTGTCAGACCCAGCATGAACTGTTCCAGCAGCTCGTCTGCTGAGAGTCGACGGCTCACAGATCCTGAAGCTGCAGGTTTCGTCACTCTGACCAACACTGACTGAACCAGCAGCAAAAGAAGATCAACCTGCGCTTCACGTTTGATAACCATGCTCATGAGCTCCCTCTGACTTTGGCTGCTGTACTTCCTGCACAGCTCTCTCTCTCTCAGCACTCAGAGACCAGTTCACCATCAAATCTCTGCTTCCTGCATTATTCTCTGTTTATTAGCCACCAGTCTGCTGCTGTGTTCAGTGCTGTCGGCCTCTGACAGCAAAGCTTCGTCTCTGCTGTTCAAACTGAACGAATGGAAACAAATGACTGCTCAGCTGTGTCTGTAATCAAACCTCATCAGGTCATGTTCACATGTTCATTCATGGTTTGCTTCAGTTTTTGATCGACTGCAGAATATTTTTAAGGTTTTCTGCTATAAAAAGCCAGAACAGGAAAACCTGCTTCATGTTTCTCTGTTGGATCCTCAGTTACACCTGCTGTGATGCTCACACCGCTGATGAAGTCTCAGTGTCAGCTTTGGTTTATACACAGATATGAAACATGGATGTGTGCTGATAAATGATCAGAATTAGAATATTTCTGACTGTGTGAGTCAAAACTGACACAGTGACGATACTCAGCCCTAGTTTTACATTCTTCAGAATTGCCCCCCTTTGCTTTATATTTCTATTCTCTCCATGAGCTTCGTGAGGTCGTCTCCTGAAATGGTTTCCAACAGAGTTCCCAGACATGCTGAGCACCTGTTGGCCCTTTTGCCTTCACTCTGCGCTCCATCTCATCCCAAACCATCTCCACTGGGTTTAGGTGCCTGTGTCTGGCGCACCACTCCATCACTCTCCTTGGTCACAGAGCCCTCACACAGCCTGGAGCTGTGTTTGTGCTCATTGTGCTGTTGAAGAATAAATGATGGCATGTTGCTGCAGGATGCTGTTGTAGCCATGCTGGGTCAGTGCGCCTTCACTTTGGAATAAATCCCCAACAGTGTCACCATCAAAGCCCCCTCACACCATCACACCTCCTCCCCCATGCTTCACAGTGGGAACCATGCATGTAGAGACCATCAGTTCACAAGACATGAACTGGTGGAGCCAAAGATCTCAGATGTGGACTCATCAGACCAAGCACAGATGGTCTAACGTCCACTCCTTGTGTTTCTTGGCCCAAACAAATCTCTTCTCTTGTAGCTTTTCCTTAGTCGTGATTTCTCAGCAGCTATTTGACACAAAGGCCTGATTCACACAGTCTCCTCTGAACATGTAGAGATGTGTCTGCTGCTGGAGCTCTGTGAGGCATCTATCTGGGCTCTGATCCGAGCTGCTGTTAACTTGTGATTCCTGAGGCTGGTGACTCGGATGAATGTTTCCTCAGCAGCAGAGGGGACTCCTGGTCTTCCTGTCCTGGGGCGTCCTCGTGTGAGCCAGTTTGATCCCAGTGCTGGATGGTTTCTGTGACTGCACTTGGGAACACATTCAGCGTTTCAGCAGTTTTCTGGACTGACTGACCTTCAGTTCTTAAAGTAATGATGGACTGTTGTTTCTCTCAGCTGATTGGTTCTTGCCATAAGATAAATTCCAGCAGTTGTCAAACAGGCTGTCAGCTGTGCACCAACCTGTCAAATGAACCCTGACAGGCACACCTGTGAGGTGAAACCATGTCAGGTGACTACATCATGAAGCTCACTGAGAGAAGGCTGAGGGTTTGCAGCGCTGTCAACAAAGCAAAGGGAGGAAGCTAAAATATAAACATATTTAGAGTTGTTCTTTGCTACATTACTCTGAAAACCCATCGAATGAGAAGGTGTCCAAACTTTTGATTGGTAGTACACACACACACACACACACACACGAGGTGTGTTCTGGTTAGGTGCGTGTTAGGAGTGTGTTTGGTTTCTGCACTCTTACAGCCTGTGTGTGTGTGCGTGCTCCTCGGCGTGTTGACCTTACCGCTGTCTGCAGAGATCTGGGAGAGCTGCACGGGAGCGTCCAGCAGCACCTGCCGCTGAGCGCCGCGGTGGTGGTTTCTGAAAGACACAAAGACACACACACCTTCACATTAACACGCCACCTCTCCCGACGGCCCAGACCCCGCCCACCCAGTCCTCACAGTTTCAGCGTGTTGAACATCTGCAGACAGATGTCTCGGATGTCATCTTCGTTTTTACTGTCAGCTGACACCTCCTGCAGCACGCCGCCGACCGCTTCGTAAACCTCCTCGCTGTCCTCGAAATCCGCCCCGCCGCCATCCAGAACCCCTGAAACACAAACACACCTCAGCAGGAGGACCAGCAGCTCCAGGCTGCGTGTCTGCTCCCGTTCACACACCACAAGGAAGAAGCTGGTGGAAACCCTCCTAATGTCAGAGCCCCCACCAGCTGCCTCTGGGCTGGATCAATCACAGGATCAATAATTGAGTCTCAGGGTTTCTGCTTCCTCTAATGCTGCTTCCGTGTTTCCGCTACCTGTGGATCTCTCAGGCCGTGCTAACCCAGGTTCAGGTCCAGGCGTGCCGGGTTATGCCGTGCTAGCCGGTGTCCCTGCTCTGAGTGCTGTCAACCCGGTTAGCTCGTTAGCTCATTGGCTAAAGAGCAGCCGCTGTCAGGCTAACCCCCGTCGGCTCCGGGCCGGCGGACAGCGGCTCGCTCCCCCCGGACAGCGGCCCGGTGCCCGGCCTCTCACCTGTGATGTAGTCGAACAGCTCCGCGTCGATCTCAGGAAACTCGCTCTTCAGGATGTCCACGTACGTCGCCATGATAGCCGACCCCGAACACCGCCTGGACGCGCATGTGCCGGTATGCGACAGCGCTGTGAACTCTGGGAGATGACGTTTGTGGAGCGGTTGACGTCAGCGGTGAAGGAGCCCCTGCTTTTCTTTTTTTTTTTTAAGAAAAAAAAATCCTGTTATTGTCTGAATTCCTGACTTTTCCAGGATGTTACGTCATTTTAAATAAAATAAACTAAACAATAAAAAACCCTCAAGCGTAAACCTGCATTCTCTCTGCTGGCCAGCAGGGCGGCGACTCCTCCTCTTCTTCTTCACTGCATCATGAGCCTCCTCTCAGATCTTCCTCTCCTCCGCCCGCCTGGCAGCTCCATCTTCAGCCGCCATCCTCTGCACATGCTCAAACCTGCTCAGCCTCTGTGACTCTGAGCTATCCCTGTGATGGACTCATGTCCATGCTGCTCACTGAGCACCTCCTCCTCCTGTTTATTAAATTATAATAAAAACGACATGAGTGAGTACAGAGATCTGCTCACCGCAACAAAGCTGGGAATTACAGTAGTACGACAAGTATTACTGCTGTATTAGCAGTAGTATGGTAGCGTGCCAGCAGTATTATACTATTATAAGCACTGTATTACATTGTTAATAGTATTATTGCATTAAATAGTTATGGTACTGTGGTATCAGTAGCAGTATTGTACAAAGCACTGGGCTGTATCTGTGGTAGTATTACAGCATTAGAAGCAGTAAGAGCATTACAAAAGTAATATTATAATAACAACTGTAGTATTGCTGTACACGTATACAAATACCTGTCAGTGATCGCCTGCAAAAAATCAGAACACAGTACGATGGGCACTAATCTTACAAGAGTATTGGAGTATTTCAGCAGCATCGTGACTGCTCGCCAGGCTCTCTGTTCCAGTGTCTCTGTGGTAGTACTACAGTAATGTAACAGTAGTATTAAGTATTACAGTGGTAGTGAGCAGTGTTGGTCAAGTTACTTGAAAAAAGTAATCAGTAACTAATTACTAATTACTTCCCCAAAAAAGTAATCCCGTTTCTTTACTGATGACTTATTTTCAAAGTAATTAATTACTTAGTTACTTAGTTACTTAGTTACTTTTTAAAAACATGATTTACAACCTGAAGAGGTGATAAAGCGATAGATCTTTCAGCCCAATTCTACTTTTTCTGCATAATCCATCATACAAAATGTAATCAAATGGAAAAATCTCTTTTTAAAACTTGTTTTATT